CAACCAATTATAATGTGGCAGAAAAGCTCTAATTTCATTGGAAAATGTGAAGTGGAAGGATCATTTCCTGATCTTGTTAATTGATCGGTTAAAAACTGTTGGTTTAAAGTTTATTAACAAAGGTAAAATTGCTATAAGCAAAACAGAGTCTTGTTCTTTACAGTCTGACTGGACAGAACAATGTGTGGTTCGTCTCATTTTAAAAATCAGAAGTGAATGGACAAAGCACTCCACAAAGAAGTATATATATATAGAGAGAGAGCGATAAACTTGACATTTTTGACATCTGAGCCTGCTGCAGAAGCTATGAATGAAATGAAATGAGAATAAAAGCTGACACGAGCGAACACATCCTAGGCTTATATGTATTGTGGCAGTCATGTGCTTTCCTGCTGTGTGTGTGTATTAGATGAGCATTACATCAGTGTGTTACTAACCCGATCCCCCATGAGCCCCTGGGGCGGTGCTCCGGCTGGCTGACTCAGCTGATCTAGCAACAGTCGGGGGTTTTCCTCTCCTGCCAATGAAACTCAAATAACAAAGACTGTAAAACCACAACTGTAATATTAAGCCACAACTAATCCATCATGATGGCAATTAACATTTTTTAGCCGAAGACCAACACATGAGTTTTGAAGATTTTTATCAGTTCCTGTGAAACGATCGCAGAGCTCCTGGGAATGGAGAAGCTGGGAAGCATGACTCAGTGTGTCAATATTACAGAACAATGGGATTTTAAGTTGCAAATAATATATATATTGTTTAATTATGTCTTATCGAAATGTACATATATTACATCTTAATTCTACCAGTGTGCTTGGGTCCTTTTGGAGCGTGATAGCTGTGGTGACGTTATTTCTGTCATTCCTTGATGTTACTACCGTTCATAAGTTTGGGGGTCTCCTTAAGTCTTTTCTGCTCACCATTTATTTGATGAAAAATACATTAAAAACAGCTATATTATGAAATATGATTACAATTTAATATAGCTGTTTCTATGTGAATAAATTGTAAAATGTAATATATTCCTGTGATCAAAGCAGAATATGATTCTCCAGTCTTCAGCGTCACATGATCCTTCAGAAATCATTCTGATATGTCAAACATTTCTGATTATTATTAATGTTGAAAACAGTTGCTGATTCGTATTTTTGTGGAAAATTATACATTTTTGTCAAGGATTCTAATGAATAGAAAGTTGAAAAAACAACATTTATTTGAAACAGAAATATTTTGCAACATTAGAAATGTCTTTAGTGTCACAATTTAATGCATCTTTTACTTATTTATTTATTTTTTTTTTAAATCTGTCTAACCCCTTTTAAACAGTAATGCATTCATACTGTATATGATTTTCTTGTTATACATTTCCTTGTTTGCAAAGTTTGCATGAATAAAGCCCTTTCTAGTCCAGTGACATTCAGTAGCAGATATCTACCCTATGAAGACACAACTGTAAGATAACATGAGTAATCACTGAGGGCACAGGGTCAAAACTTACGGGAGTACCTGTCAGTATTATCTTGTTTTTAAAGGGGTGATGAACTGAGAAATCAATTTTCCTTGAGCTTTTGACATCTAAGAGGTCATCATATTATAAGAATATCCTGTAGCCTAAGTTTCAGAACTGAAAACGTCCTTGTTAGTCCAATAAAAGCTTTTCTTGACACCAGGCTCAGCAAACGACTTGTTTTTAAAAGTGAGGAACTATGACGTCAGACAGGATAAAACACCACCCCCGCAGAAGAAGATCAACTCCTACTTTTAGCCCCGCCCACCGGTTCGCATATTAAGGCCCGTACACACCGGGACGAATATCAGCACGTGTTATTCGTCACAGCATTTTTTAACGCGTTTTTTGTGTTCACACCCAAGCGATTTTCGCTGACGATGAGCCGAGTGAACATGCAAATTCATTCCCTGACATTAGATGGCGCCAATTTGCTCTGCAATACCACTCCATAACAATTCTCTTTTATCAAGATGTTTGTAGTCCCTGTCGCGTTTGTCATATAGTAATTTATGTTCTAGCACCAACGAGAACAGCAGCTCTACATTCATCTTGCGTTGCATCTTCCTCGTCTTATTTCTTCCTGGCTGTGTAGACGGCGACGGGTATATCTTCTTCACTGTTACATATGTGAGCTCGGCAAAACCGTTTTGTGTTTGAGCGCCCCCAAGTTGTGTTTTACTGTCTCCTCAGAAGCTCCAAACACGTTAGTAAAAGCGCCAATCTCATTGGTCGGATAGTTTTTGATGCGGCGCGTCAAACTAAAAAAACAAACCCGAGGCGTTTTTTTTTAAAAATGACGTTTTTATGCTTGCCGTTTTACGAGTCGGTGTGAACACTCACATTGGCGCCCTTTGTTTAGTCACGAGGCGTTAAACGTCGGCGAATAACGCGCGCGAAATTCGTCCCGGTGTGAACCGGCCTTTACACGCATAGCTAAATAACATAGGCCTACCTCGTGATGACAAACCGGGTCAAGCTACCGAGCAATACAGAATATTGTGCAGAGCCTGGTTGTGGAAGAAGACAGTGGCTGCATAAGCTTCCTCTGGATTCCAATAGGACTGCAAAACTTTATTTTTAATGACGTTCCAGCTGATGAGGGTAAAACATCGTCCGTCTGTTCGCTTCATTTCACTGAGGATTGTTTTGTAAACAAGACTGGATTTGCGGACCGATTAAGAGTAAAGAACGGTGCTGTGCCGTCTATATTGGATCTGACAGGAATTGTGCAACACACGGACTCTGGGTCGAACATGTATGGGCCAATCATTCCGGTTGCCATTTTACAACATTGGACGTTTTCAAAACAATTTTCTCCAAGTGTATCGACGAGGTGAGTTGAAACTCATTATAATATTCAAAACTGTTATCCACTCACAGCAGAGGACGTTTACTTCCAAGTCTTCCGTGCGAGATGCCCATAAAAACCGAGTGTTTCTGAGCAGTTCTCAAAACTAGGGTAGAAAATGACTTATTAGTTATTCATTTTGATGTTTTTAAAGGAACACTCCGACTTTTTGGGACTTTAGCCTATTCACCTTACCCCCCAGAGTTAGATAAGTCCATACATACCTTTTTCATCTCCGTGCGTGCTATAAGTCTGTTTGACGCACCCACCGCTAGCCTAGCTTAGCACAAAGACTCGATGTGACTGGTTGCAGCTTTCATGATCCAAATAAGTGGCAAAATAACGCAAACGTTTTCCTATTTACATGTTGTGATTTGTATAGTCACATAATGTACAAATAACAAAGTCAAATGAGACACAGACATCTTTTAACCGTATAAAACCTGGGAACTATTCTCTGAAGGCGAAGCACTGCTACTTTGACGGCGTAATAACCGCATCACCGAGACAAGCCGTGGTGAGGAGCGGAGAGTTCGCTCGGTGTTTGGGTAATAGAGTCAGAAATTTATAAATAGTAAAAGCGTAGTTTAGAGTCATGGGTTTTCGCTCTATTTTAAACAGCTGCGACTGTAAACAGGGGAGGTAATACCATGTTTCACAGAATTCCAACTAAAAACGCTGACTGGATGAAGAAATGGCTAACTTACTCTGGATATTTATCCAAACACACCTAAGATTATCAAGGGACATTATGTTTGCTCGGTACATTTCAATGAGGACGACTATTTTGAAAAAATGGAATTTGCCACACGGACCATAATGTGCTGAAGGATACGGCCATCCCATCGATAGCACAGACAGGACAAGTGGATCACCTGCGGGCCTGCGGCTGAGGTAAGTGTTCCGTTATGTTTTTAGATGACCTACTGTAACAGTGCCATTATTAGCCAGATCTAATGTAACGTTAGTGACACTATTATATGATTAGGGTATGAATGTGTTTTTATCTTGATGCGAAAAAAAATCATCTTGGGAAAAAAAAACGAGCGCGTTCACCGCGTTGAACTTGCACCCTGCGCGCGGCGCGCCTAGTAGCCTAAATTTGAAATAACCATGGAAATAACAAACTTGAGCGTGCAAAAGGGTACGATAGGCTGTGAGTTCATTGTGCAAAAACAATTTGTGCTATTACTTTCCCCTTATTCTATCCTATAGTAATGCAATACTGTATATATAGGCTACTGTTGAATACATTTGGTTCAGCTAATAAATTGCATTTAAAATATATTGATTCCTGTAATAATAATTATTTATTCATGTGATATTTATAAATCTGGGTGCGTTTTTGGTTGGAAATCAATGAAACATGGTACTGTATTACCTGGTCTCCCCTGTTTATTGTCACAGCTCATACAATAAAGCAAACACCCATGATAAACTATGCTTTTCTATCTAACGTTAGTAATTGCTGACTCTTTATTCCAACGCTGAGCGAAGCGAACTCTCTGCTCTTCGTCACGGTGCGTCTCAGGTGATTGTTATCACTCTGCCCAAGTAGCAGTGCTTCCCCTTCAGAAAATATAGTATTTATACGGTCAAAAGATGTCTGTGTCTCATATGGCCTTGATATTTGCACACTCTGTGACTATACAAACCACAACATGTAAATAGGAAAACGTTTGCGTTATTTTGTCACTCATTTGGATTAGTATGAAAGCTGCAACCATTCACATCCAGTCTTTGTGCTAAGCTAGGCTAGCGGTGGGTGCGTCAAACAGACTTATAGCACGCACGGAGATGAAAAAGGTATGTATGGACTTATCTAACTCTGGGGGGTAAGGTGAATAGGCTAAAGTCCCAAAAAGTCGGAGTGTTCCTTTAAATGCAAAAACCAAGTGAACGTCATAAGTTGACCTCAGACAACAATATAATACAATTTTAAAAGCCGCTTCATGACCCCTTTAAGATATTAAAAAGTGGATACGTTTTAATGCATAAACAACAAATTTCAGTACTTTCTCCTAATAGCTTAGCTTACGTCACTTCATTATGACATACACCTTGACCCAGAGACTGAGACAGATCAATATCCTCAGGGCAAACACTGTAGCTGTTGAGTGAACTAATTACACACACATGTTTGACGGGAAAGCAGCTTTAATGCTTAATATCAGTGCTGATTCCTGGAATCACCCGACACAACCAGATTTAGTGTGAGACTTACAACTGTCTTATAATGACATGTAATAGTTCATTCCCATTTTGAGTTAGTTTGAAGTGCATTCTGTATTATATGAACTGATGAGAATGAACAAAGTCTCTTTACATTATGTAACAAACAAACAACAGAAAGAAACAAAGTTCATAATCACAAAGGACATACCATGCCAAAAAAGCTGATCCACTGGCGAAGGCATAGCTTTCATCTTTCAAGCTCTCCCACATTTCAGCTGAAATGCCAACAGATCTGACTATCATGGCAGTGCTCACAATATTTCAGGTGTGCAACGATCTTTACGGGACCCGAAAAGGCGGTGTAGAAGGTGGCTGCTTGTAACTGGGTTGGTTAGGCCAGTGTCACTCGCCCTTAAAGCGAGGAGGACGCTTTTCTTTGAACGCCAGCAAACCCTCCAGCCGGTCTTGGGTTGGGATCACCTAGGAGACAACAGTCGTGTCAGAGGAGCGCCACAGCTGTGCCGTCTCACGAGCTAAATATAGTGGCTCTCGGAGCGATCTAGGCCAGCGCTCACTCTCTGCATGAAGCGCATCGTGTTAGCCCTCGAAATGGCTGATACACAGACTGATTACATGAAATTAAAGGAATTCTTTTTATGTAGCTACTATTTATTTTTGCCTTTACTTGCCAGGACACGATGAGGACGGACAGGAAGAGAGGGGAGAGGAGAGAGGGAAAGAGGATCGGGACTTGACTTAAAGGTTCACTCCAGAATTAGTTCACTCCAGATTCTAGAATTAAAAATGTCCAGATAATTTACTCAACACCATGTCATCCAAGTTTATTTATGTCTTTCTCTCTTTAGTCCAAAAGAAATGAAGGAAAACATTCCAGGACTTTTCTCCATATAGACTAGTGACTTCAATGGGGTTCAACGGGTCGAAGGTCCAAATGTCAGTTTCAGAGCAGCTTCAAAGTCTCAACATCAGTGATAATGAGCTGATGAGTTAAATCCGGTGTGTTTGATTAGGGAGACAAAGAAAACGGGTACTCTAGGAGTCAGGACAGGTTTGGGAACCACTGCTCTACACCATCCCAGCCGAGGGATACAGCAGGTCTAATCTAGACAAACCATCGCCCATTAAAAAACATTTATATACTTTTTAACCACTAATGCTGGTGTTGCACTAGCTCTGCGATGCGCCACACATTACGTAATCAGGTTGAAAGGTCACATGTGACGTAGGTCGAAGTACCAACCTAGTCTTTACAAAGTGAACGTGCAAAGAATAAGGCCACGTCCACACGTTCCCTATCCGTTTTTTTTCCCTCGTTCTAAAAAAAAAATACGTAAATACTCAAGTCTCAAGAAATATCTGCGTACACACGAAACCACTGAAACCGACTGCCAGACCAGTATGGGGCGCTGTAATTCTGCCACATAGATACACTATACACGGAGAAGAAGACTTTGAGTATGCGTATAACCTTTCACGCTGTATACGAACCAAGAAGAAGAACACGAAGATGGCGTGTGACGCAGCCGACGTGTGATGTGATGACATCATCGTTTCACAAAATATACGGATTGGCTGTACGCACGAAACCGCAAGGGTGTCGTTTTCAGATTTATCCACTTTGGGACCCGGTTTCAAAAAATAGCAGTTTCACTCTCCCAAAACGCCAGATCCGTGTTGACGAAACGCCAATACGATAAAAAAAAATGTATACTTATACAGTGAAACACGTCTTTGTGTGGACGGGCCCTAATTCAAACGCCATAAAAAATACATTAATAAAAGGTAAAACAACAAATGTTGGATGATTTTGACGTTGGAGGACAAAATGAGATTTCTACATTTTCCACATATGTCAGGTTACCACCTGACCTTTCCAACGGGATTATGTAATGTGTGAAGTTGTGGTCGTGCAGGACGAGCATTTGTGGTTAAAAGCATATAAAAGATTTTTTTTTTTTTCAGAAAATGGCAGACGGTTTGGCTAGATTAGACCTGTATTCCTCGGCTGGGATCCTGTAGAGACTTTGAAGCAGCACTGAAACTCACATTGATCACTATAAGTCACTATATGGAGAAAAATCCTGGAATGTTTTCCTTAAAAACCTTGATTTCTTTTCGACTGAAGAAAGAAAGACATGAACATCTTGGATGATGTGGGGAAGAGTAAATTATCAGGAACTACTGCTTTAATGTGAGAGCGCCAGGATATGGCTTCTTGAAAGGTATATCAATCATTGGTAAAAATATATTTCTCCATGTTTAAAACAAATGTTTGTTTTTTTTACTTTGGATCCCAACCGTTGCGCTCTATTGTAGAACAGCATTGTGGCTAAAAACAAAAGTTCATTTTTGATTCTCAGATTAATGGGAATTTATCATCATGTAAACATACTGTACCTGAGAGTAACATGCCTCTTCAATAGCCAATCCTGTCTTCAAATCCACCTGGAAAAAACAAAACAACATCCAACACTAGTTTTGCATCAACCGTTTTCATTTGCAGAATGTTTGCATGAACCACAACAACTGTATAAGTCAACAGAGAACTAAAGTCTGATTCGATGTCGAGTGCCCACACAACCTTTCTTTTCTCCTTGTAGCCGTGGGAACAAACCATCCAATAAACGTGCAAGAGCTCCTCATGAAAACACAGAAGAACAGAGACCTACTTTTGTAGGTGACCTTGGCATTTCACAAACACAGAAATATCTGAACTCCTCACTAGAAAAACAACTGAAATTTAAGTAAATGTCCTCAAAAGGCTCAATAGAGCTCTTTCTTCATTTTAACAGCGACAGCTCTTCTAAAGAAGGCCAGATGAAAACAAGTTATTTTGCGTCCTAGTGAAGCATCTTCAAATATAAGAAATTGATTTTTTCAACCAAGGCTCATTGGGAAAAACTGCTTTCATGGTTTGCAACACTTCCAAAAAGTGAAATGTCCAGTGAGTGACACTAAAAGCATGTTCAGTTTTCTCTGAAACAGATTCATTTGAATCTCCAAATATTTTACTGTATGTAAGCTGACAGTTCAGAAATTAAATGCATGTTGAGTGATGCTAAAAGGTTAATGCTCTACCGCATTTGAAAATAACGTACCACTTACATTAAACCTGACTCTGTGTTAACAAAGCAAACGTGAGATAAAAACATTTGCTGAAGCAACGATGACGCATTAGTTTGCTGCTTTAAGTCTTTGAGCTCTTCTGTCAAGTAGGGCTGGGCAAAAAAATCGATTTTTCGATTAATCGTTTTTTAAAATGTGTTCGATTCAAAATCGATTCTCAACGTCCGGAATCGATTTTTTCCATATAAAGGGCTCGCGGACGCGGTGCTGCATCTTCTCGTCTCTCTGCACTAGGCAAGCGCCAAGCGCTGCAGCTGTCGATACACACACGTGTTTAGGAGTCGGGACATGACGGAATATTCACTTAACAATCGGGCCAGCATTGCATCGTAACCTATGATCGTAACTAACGTTTATCATTTTCACGTCTTTTTGAGTTTTACAAGCAATGTTAAACCATCCCGTGCTCGCGCACTCTCAGAGATGTCTTTCACTGCGTGCACAGTAACGTTACAGCCTAAATCTGCCTCACAAACAGCTCGCCAGAAACAAAAGTATTTATATATTTATCTATATCTATCTTAAACATAAAATAACATGATACTGTTTGATCAAGCTGTGCGACTGTTCTGACTTTTTTTGCATATTGCATCAAAATCATAAAAAGAGTTTTATATACAGGTTTATGGCTCTTAATTTCCTTGTATTAATTAACTACTAGTAAACTTACGTCCACTGTTCTTTTTTATAAATATAGGATTTGTATTACATCTTCATTATAGTCGAATCGAGAATCAAATCAGGAATCGAAATCGAAAATTGAATCGAGAATCGAAATCGAATCGAACTGAGAGCTTGTGAATCGAAATCGAATCGAAATTGAAATGTGAATCGATACCCAGCCCTACTGTCAAGCCTGGTGGACTCGACAAGTGGACCAGCTGAGAAAAGCCACGCATATGGAGCTAGATACGGGACACAAACAGCAAAATGTATTGGTATACAAAGGATGTAGGCATACACTGATATGAAAATTTTGGCCGGTACGGATAAATCTTTCTATTTGAAAGCCGATAACCGATATATTGGACGATAAATCTAAATCAAAATTTTTATATAATTTTTGAGAGCCTGATTACTAAAACAAAAGTCTCAGCATTAAAAGCCATGTCCCAAACACACAATTATAATGTTCTCATTATAATCTGATGTAGCCTATATGACAGACTTGCGCTGGTTTAAGGTTTTTGATGAAAACATTCCAGCATTTTTCTCCATATAATGGATTTCAATGGGAACCAAACGGTTTAAAGTCCAATAGACACTTTCATTGCAAACCGTAAACTGTTCAAAGGGATTTAAACGATTCCAGACAATGAATAAGGGTCTTATCAAGCGAAACGATCACTCATTTAAAAAAAAAAAAAAAAAAAAAAAACAAAGTTTAAGTTTTATAAGCTCAAATGCTTGCCTTGCTCTGTTCTGTGATGCACGTTCGTGACTCTCTTGTTCGAACTCGTTCATCAAAATGAACGAATCTTTTTCCGAGTCAATTCATTTGTTTCGTTCGTTGAATGATGACTGAGTTCGAACAGGAGAGTCAAAAACGTGCGTCACAGAAAAGAGCAAGGTGACCATTTGAGCTTATTATGAACTTAAAATGTATTTATTAATTTATTAAATGAGCGATCGTTTCACTTGGTAAGACCCTTATTCATCGTCTGGAATCGTTTAAAGCCCTTTGAACAGTTTGCAGTTTGCACTGAAACTGTCTTTTGGACCTTGAACCGTTTGGTTCCCACTGAAGTGCATTATATGGAGAAAAATGCTGGAATGTTTTCATCAAAAACCTTATTTTCTTTTCGACTGAAGAAAGAATGACATGGACATCTTGAATGACATGGGGGTGAGTAAATTATCAGCAAAAGTTTTTTAAAAAGTGAACTACTCCTTTAAAAACAAACATATGTAAGGCGATACTGTGGCCGATATATCATGCATCCCTAAAAGGATGTCCTATGGTAAAAGTGCAAAAGGTCATAACACACTACGCCCTTATTAATTAATAATCGGCCCCTGTAATCATAATTTGTGTACAAAGGAATAAACGTTGTTGGAGTTTTACTGCCTCTAGTGTTCATTTCAGTGAATTTCATGTTCAGGAACGTTTTCAGGAGTTTTGCTAACATGTTTACTAAATACTAATATGGCACATTTTCCAATGAGCCTGTGTTAGCTTTTTTCCTCTTTTAATGAGATCCACAGAGAAGATGAGGAGCTTACTTCCTAAAGGACGTGTGGCGTTGACAGGCCGGCCTCTAGGGTCAAGGTAAGGTCACGGAGCAGACGCATATTTTGGTAACTCGGATGACAGCTGCACATGACTTCACGTACAAAACACTCTTCTACTGGTAAGCATATACATGTTGAGAGATAGATTATATGTTTGCTCACAAACAGCAAGGAAAAGCAATATTTATTTAAATATTATTTTTATTATATTATTTATTATGCCCCATTCTCAAGATATAATACAAGTCTCAGGTGTCCCAGAATGTGTCTGTGAAGTTCCAGTGTGTCCCTTTAAATGCAAATGAACTGCTGCTCCCTTTACAGCTTGTGCTTCAAATGGGCTATATGCACGCATAAGTTCCGCATTTGACGCAAGGATGCTCGTCCATTTCCGGTTGTGTAGATTAAAGCGGAGGAAAACCGGAGAAAACGGGATTATGGCAGAGTCTTCAATATTTACTGTCCTCCCGTCTTTGAAACGAAACGTACATACGTTTAGATGTAATTTTATATATAGTTATGTTTATTTAATATAATTTTTAAAAGAAGCATAAACACAACGAGGGGTGTCTGTTTTGTCTGTTTTTGTGACTAACGTTTCATTAGTATAACCATGGAGTATAAAATTCAATATAAATTCTCGGTATTGCATTGGACTCTATGATCGGCGGAAGTTATCGAGCATCCCTAATGCTTCACCGGAAATACCGCCGTGCATAGAGCCCATACACTGACAACAACAAAATTGGAGAATCTCATGCAGCAAATATGTCAAAAAATTGTCAATAGCGTGTTCAACCAAGCCAGAGTTGGACACTGATGGAGAGACTCGGGAAAAAGTTACAACTTTTAGTATGCAACTGTTACTGAATGTGGATGAATTAACATAGTAAAATATACAAATATTTATTGGTTTTAAAATCCGATATTCCGATATATCGGCCGATATTTTTTATTTATTTATTTATTTCAGAAACACGCAACAAAACATGAACAGATTTCCCTAACATTAGTTATTTGTAGTTATTTATGAGTTTTAACTAAAATAACATGATAATGCATTTTAAAAAGAAACTTATTTCTTTTATTGTCACAACAGAACCGAGGAATATCAAACTATATTAAAGTTCTGATAAAGAAAATAACAAATAGTCCCGACAGTACGCAACGCACACTGGGCGTCATTGGATTTCACACACGTGTAAAAGAAAAGCTAACTTTTCTGCACAAGATACATTTGATACTTTTTCTCTAAATGTTCACTCTTCGCAAGTCTAACTTACATTTTACAATGCAAGGACTGTAACTACAGATATGCTAGTTATAAAATACAGTAATCATTACTTTATTTAGGCAGAAAAAGTTTCCAAGCTCATTAATATTAACGTTAGCGGTCTTCCACTGATGATAATGGCATTAGCTAGCTTTGTGGTTAGCTAGTCTATGATGAGCCAACACTCATGACATAGTTGAAGCGTGATTTGTCCATTTTTATTTTACTTTCGAAATATTAATTTATCGGCCATTATAACTGCTGCTACCGATATTTATAAAAATGCCTAATATCGGCCGATAATATCAGCCTGCCGATAAATCGGTCTGGCTCTATTGTGGAGTTCAACTAGCATGTAGCATGTACCGTAATGTTAATATAAAAATCGTTCAGAAACAACATTTGCGCAAATCCAGCGTTAAACTGACCCTTGTTTGTGAAGCTGTCCAGCATACAATGATTTGTGCAAATAAATATCACTTTAATGATTTTCTTTAGCACATTTCCTGCCTAAATGAAATGTAACCACAGTGTCCTCAGTGGGACCGATGCCAGGAGTCTGTAGAGATTGGTGTGTGTGCTAGTACATCCAATAACAGAACATTTGTTATGTTTTTTGACGCAGACGTATATCTCCGGCTGCTACAGTGAGGAAACAGAGACGGCGACTGCAGCGGCTCACTCGGGCTGGGATCTATGCTAATAGGGCAGATCGTTAAGAGTACGAGTAGAAAATCTGGAACCACTCATTTGGAGACACTGTTTATGATTTATGGGGATTATAAAAAAAAAGGAGTGGGTGGACATACCATTATAGGCTGGTTGTTTACACACACACACACACATCAGTGTTCAAACACCTTATTAAAGTGAATTATGCATAATAGGTCCCCTTTAATAGTCATGGTACCTTATATCAAAATAATGATCAACTTTTAACTTTTAAAATGCTCCCAGACTTTTTTTTTTTCTTGACATCAAAGGAAGTTTCATCAATCAAACTCTATGGTATTTTGGCAAGTCCCTTGGTAGAAGATGCCAACACAGATTGCCTCACTCTCACACCCAGGAAGAAAACAGCCCTTTATTTTTGACCAGATAAGTCAGTACATTGTGCAATCTTACCTCCATTCCTTGGTTGATTGCCAACTTCGCCATTCTAATCGCAATCGGCCCCTTGAAGATAAAAAGCGTCACACCTTCATTAGAAGGATACAGTAAGAAACTGTTGAAGCTGATTGAGCGAGCATGGCGGTTCATACCTGAGGGATGAATTCTCGAGCCAGATCCAGAGCTCGCAGATACGCCGCATCTCCACTGGGATTCTGCTCCACCGCATGATTGACTAGGCCGAGACGTTTGGCCTCTTCGCCGCTCAGCACCCGCGCCGCGAATATCAGCTCTTTAGCTACGGACACTCCTACAGTTCGGGGCAGGCGCTGAGTTCCCCCTACAGACAGAGTATGAGGACATATTAATCTGTGGCATTCAATCACATTCACAGCATGTTTTATTATAGGGTTAGTAAGATTTTCAAAGTTTTTGAAATAACTCTATTATGCTCACCAAGCCTGCATTTACTCAATCAAAAACACAGAACAAACTGTAATATTGGGAAATATTACCACCATTTATAAAAACTGTTTTCTATGTGAATTTTGTTTTCCTCCGGTGATGCAAAGCCGAATTTTCAGCATCATTACTCCAGTCGTGGACCAGCTGAGAAAAGCCACGCATATGGAGCTAGATACGTGACACAAATAGCAAAATGTATTGGTTTACAAAGGATGTAGGCATACACTGATATGAAAATTGTCCGGTACGGATAAATCTTTCTATTTGAAAGTCGATAACCGATATATTGGCCGATAAATCTAAATCAGAATTTTTATATAATTTCTGATTACTAAAACAAAAGTCTCAGCATTAAAAGCCATGTCCCAAACACACAATTATAATGTTCTCATTATAATCTGATGTAGTCTATATGACAGACTTGCGCTGCACGTGTTGAGCTTTACTGTATTTTCATGTGGCCAAAGCCGAATTTTCAGCATCATTACTCCAGTCGTCAGCGTCACATTAAGCTTCATATTTTTATGAAAACATAAAATGATAATCTCTTTGACTCTCTACCTTCCAAAGACATGTTCTCTGATTGGCGAAACTATAGTGTCAAATTCTTCTCTATATTTGTTTGCGGTGTCTAGGGCTGTCTAAGAGAAAGATGCAACTTTCCAGGACGCCTTTTGTAGATTCTCTGATTTTAGGAAAACAAAATCTTTAAAGTGTTCCAAAAACTCGCCATGTGGCCACAGTCGAAGTTGGAAAATTAAGCAAAAAGTTAGTGTGGGAAGCTGATGAGGAGTGAGAACAAGAGGAGTTAGTTGCATTGTGCTTCAATGCTGTTAACACTATATCAACAAATACACATAATACACAACTGCAACAGAACACCTCTCCATACACAACTCCAGACACTTATATGATAAATATCTGTTCCACACAAACATTTAAAGCTGCTGGTCATTCATTGAAAGTGTTGTGGTTGAAGACAAACACACACGGCCTGTGTTTTAGCATGGGATCTACTGTGCAGCCGGAGCTTTAGGCTTTAGAAGCACCCGTCTTAGAAAATTGTACAAAACGAAGCTAATTGCTTTGTAATGAGTCTTGAAAATGACTGGCCACTCGCAGCATCAATGTTCAAAGGAGCTTCATTTATTTCAATTTACACAAAGATTTTTACTACTTAAACTAAACTACCGGTACACTATTTCAGAGGGCAGTTTAAGTCACAATCCACGTACATAATTGGAGGTATAATTATGATTCCATAATTACCTTCAAAGCAAATCAACAGAGGCAAGGAAAACTGTACAAACTATTTTTTATTCAATTCAGAGCAGAAAAATAAAAAGAAATTGCCAGCAGACAAATGAATGCACAACGAGTGTGTGTGTATGTGTGTGTGTGTGTGTGCACACCCATGTTTGAGAATCTGAAGCTGTGCTTATGACAGGCTGTAAAGTTTGTAAACAATAGACAGCATTTTATCTATTCAACAGCAAGAAAGGCATTTCATTGATATCTAGGTACTGTATGTTGAAAACTTGTTTTGCTAAATGGGATAGATGTGGAAAGTGATAAGAAGAAAAATAAATATGTACTCAAGTTATAGATGAGGGCAAACAGTGTATTTTTCAAGTCTATTCCAAACTTCTTAACCGGTAGACTACAGAAGAACTCAAAATGACCAGAGTTGTCAAGTTCAAGGAAACAAAACAAATAAATAGCAGTATAAAATCATATTAAAAGTAGATCATAGAAATAAGGCTGAAAACAGACTTCAGACTGCAAAACGCCACTGGTTTGTATGTGTGGCATAACTTAATAAAGGTGCAAGTTTGTGATACAGTATGTTGCTTAAAATGGAGGAAGTTTTGGTGGAAGGGAATTTCTATCTTTGCTGCATAAAGCTACCAGCATCAGGAGACGTGGAATATACTAGTAATTCTACTACAGTATAGAGTACTAGTCAAATGGACTAATTTATGGTTCTGTCTGTGGTGTTTTATTGGAGTTAAAGGGATAGTTCACTTTGAAATTACCTCAAGGGAATCCAAGATGTAGGTGTCTTTGTTTCCACAGTATTTTCAATTTTGATATTTTTAGGTCAAACCGTTGTTGTCTGTCAGTCATATAATGCAGGTTTGGGGGGTCCACCTCAAAGAGCATGCACAGAGAAGTCAAAATTAAACTTGATTTAATGACTCGTGAATGTAAGTACACATTGATGGCCTAAGACACGAAACGAGCGGTTTGTGAGAGAAAACGAGCAGTATTTATATCGTTTTTACCTCTTGTAAACACAGCCATGTTCAACTGATCTGAATCAGTTGGCCAATGTCCAACATTCCGCCGGAAGTGATCTCTTGCTCACTCATTGTTTACACAATGAGTGAGCAAGAGATCAATGAGTGAGTTTCATTGTACGTCACTCATTGTTTACACAGAGATTTCGGAAGTTTTACCTTTCACTAAAAATATTTAGATATATCGAAATCGTCTTCCATTGCGATTTCCTGTGTATCTAAATATGTTTAGATCTTCACAGTGAAAGGTAAAACTTCCGAATTCTCTGTGTAAACAATGAGTGACGTACAATGAAACTAGGGCTGAACGATTTTGGAAAATAATCTAATTGCGATTTTTTTAACCAATATTGCGATTGCGATTTAATATGCGATTTAAAAAAAAAAGTTATTTACCTTCTGCATTAGTCGACAAAGACAAGCAATAAATCATTGTACAGTAGGATGGGAATCTTTAGATAGCTCATGATCCGATCTACTTTTTTTCTTATTAATTAATCTTAATAACTCTTAAAATATGTATTTAATTACATGTGTAAAAACACATACTTTAAAAAATAAATATAAAAAAACATTTAATTAAACCAATTACATGTTAAGAATTTTAAATAGGCTATATAAAATAATATAGCTTCAAAATATCAAAGCTAGTAAATAAAGAGAAACAAAAAAAGATACGATGAGCTGCATTCACACTAATGCATATATCTCTTTTGAAATTGTAAATGTGGTTTGTCCTGTTGGTTTAAGATATAACTGACCGTGTTTACATCAATTTCGCGTCATAAAAGCATTTTGACATGCAAGTACATTTACCAATGAGTCGCTCACGGCCGCATGCAAGAGCGCTCTTTACAAAGCACGCGTTAGTATTTTAAAATGAAAGCAGCCTTCTCAGTGATTTTCATGGTTTTAATATAAGCCAACTGCATTCCAAAATACATAAATAATGCCTCTGTGAAGCATTTGTAAAGAAAATACCCGCGGGAGAGAACGCGAACTCCAAGTGGAACGTTATAACATCAAGCAAAGCGGCAAAACATGTTCAATGAAGCCCGCGAATGTCCTTGTAATTCGGTTCAATCCCGAACTTTATGAAATAACGTTACTATGTTTTGGAAGGTTCGAGCGGTGTCGTGTGTGAGTGAGGAAGAGAGAGAGCGAGAAAATAGAAGCAAGCAGATTCAGAACCCGGTTCGTTTCTAAAGCACGCGCAGCGTCATCACGCATCTGTGTTTAAAAACTAAGCTCAGACTCGATTCTGAAATTCTCTGAATCGATCCAGGATTGTTGAGGAGAGAATAAATAACACAATAAACTGTTCTTTTCTGGACGCCAGACCGCGTAGCGTGGCAAGTTATGCTTTATCTTGCAGACTGCTTTTCTCTTGCGTGTCACGTGACCAGTGTAATCGCAGCTCTTGCGATTACAAAATCGCGTTTCATCATATCGCGATTTTATCGCAAATGCAATTAATCGTTCAGCCCTAAATGAAACTCACTCATTGATCTCTTGCTCACTCATTGTGTAAACAATGAGTGAGCAAGAGATCACTTCCGGCGGAATGTTGGACATGATTCAGTTGGACATTGCACAACTGATTCAGATCAGTTGGACATGGCTGTGGTTACATGAGGTAAAAACGATATAAATACTGTTCGTTTTCTCACACGAACCACTCGTTTCGTATCTTAGGCCATCAATGTGTACTTACATTTACGAGTCATTAAATCATGTTTAATTTGGACTTCTCTGTGCATGCTCTTTGAGGTGGACCCCATATACCTCCATTATATGACTGACAGACAACATCGGTCTGACCGAAAAATCAGTATGTCAAAATTGAAAATACTGTGGAAAAAAAGACACCTACATCTTGGATGCCCATGAGGTGAGCTAAAACATATCAATAATTAATTTCAAAGTGAACGATCCCTTTAAGAGACTTATACTTGGCCTATTCTTGTATGGAAAAGAGCCATTTAAACTTTCCTAAATGTTTGCATTGTACACACAAGACAACAACAGACAGGTTTGGAAAGACAATTGATACATTTCCATTTTACGGATATTTTAATGTGCAAAATGAGTTATAACTCAACCATTGATTTCCTGAAGAGTGTAAACCAGGGGTTTCAAACATACGGCCCCGGCTTGGGGGATGATTCAAACAACTAATAGAAAATAGAGATGCCCATGTGTCGAAGCGGTTTCAAGTTTTAGTTTGGCCGATCTCTATTCTGGACTTGCACAAAAACTGCTTTGCAATCATATCCCAAAATAATAGTAGTAATTTGTGTGGGACGATTACAAAGTCTATAAACATGACGTTAACACAGGCCAGAGATGGGAAACGCTGGCCGGACGCAGAGAAAACACAGACGCTCAAGCAGAGCAAAAACTGTTCCAGACAAAGAAAGCTCACTGTTTCTGTAGGAACATGTGAAGTATAGGAAGACAACATTGTGGTAGGGGTTTATATCAATATCGATTAAAGGTAACGGTCTTCAGAATAGTTGCGATAAAATTACCTCGCCCTCTTACCTCCGTATAAAGTAGTGTTATACAAGCAGCG